TATAACTAAATCATGAAACAAACTACCCCGATCCCTACAATGACGAAACTACCTTTCTTCCGCTCGATTACCCTGCTGCCCTTCCTCGTCTTTCTTCTCCCGTCCATGTCCTTTTTCGTAAATTCAAAATGCATTCCCGCCGAAAGAACTGCCTTGCTACACATGAAAAAAGCGTGGGGCAACCCCACAACCCTCAAACACTGGACCCCCACGTCATCTCCCTGTCACTGGCTGGAAATCAACTGCTCCATCAACTGCGCCGTCACCGGAATCAACATCAACAACTACAACATCACCGGCGCCGTGTCGGACTCCATCGGTGGCCTCCACAACCTAATCCATCTCGATTTCGGTATCAATAATCTGGAGGGACAATTCCCGGCCGCCGTACTCAACTGCTCAAGGCTCAGGTATTTGGACCTCTCACAAAACCGCTTCATGGGAGATATTCCGGCCGAAATCGAGCGGCTCAAATCACTCCAGCACTTGGACCTCAGCGGCAACAGCTTTTGCGGCAGCATCCCGCGGGAGATCGGAAGCCTGCCGGAGCTTCGTGACCTGCTCTTGGGCGATAATTTGTTCACAAGCTATCCGGTGGAGATCTCCAACCTTTTGAATCTGGAGATCTTCTATCTTTCTAACAACACCTTCAAGCCGGCGAATTTACCTCACGAGTTCGGAAAGCTCACCAAACTCAAGGTTTTTTGGATGAGGATGGCGAACATCAACGGAGAGATTCCCGACAGCTTAGGGAATTTGTCCAGCCTCACCTCTTTGGACTTGCCTATCAACGATATCCAAGGTAAAATCCCAAACAGCCTTTTCTTGTTGAGAAATTTGAGCATAATTTATTTGTTTACCAATCGGCTTTCGGGTCCGATTCCTCAAGTAATCGAGTCGTTGGATTTGGTGGAAATCGACCTATCCATGAATTACTTGACCGGTCCGATCCCGGAAGATATTGGGAAACTCGAAAAGTTGGAGCTTTTGTATCTTTATAGAAACAATCTATCGGGTGAAGTGCCAGCGAGCATAGGCCTACTTCCCAGCCTTCAATATTTTGTTGTTTTCACGAATAATCTAAGTGGAGCTCTACCCGATGAAATGGGAAAACACTCGAAGCTCATTGACATCGAAGTTTGTGACAATCTTTTCACCGGAAAACTGCCGGACAATTTGTGCGGAGGTGGTGTTTTGGATCATGTGTATGCTTTTGGAAACAATTTTACGGGCAATATTACGATATCATTAGGAAATTGCCAAACCCTTGTCGTCGCGTGGCTGTTCAGGAATAGCTTCTCCGGCGAGCTCCCGAGTAAAATATTTCCGAATTTAACTGAGTTCGATGTAAGTGACAACGAGTTTAGCGGTGAAATTCCGACTAATGTTTCGTCGTGGACAAATTTGGGTGTGTTCAAGGCAGGCAACAACAAGTTGTCGGGCACAATCCCGACTGAATTGGCAAGCCTACAAATGCTTTCGACTTTGAATCTTTCCTCCAACAATTTATCGGGTTCGATTTCACCTGATTTTGGTTCTTTACATGCACTTGAAAGTTTGGATTTGTCGAATAACCAACTTTCAGGTGAGATCCCAACTCAGTTAGGAAACTTGACACTCACTTTCCTAAACCTTTCTTCGAATCAACTCACCGGACAAGTTCCCGACAAGTTAGATAATGTCGCGTTTAATGGAAGTTTTCTGAACAATCCGGGTCTTTGTGCCAAATTCAAAATCTCCGACCTTCCTGCTTGCAGCGCCGAATCTCCAAAATCGATGAATCATGTGCGCAAATATGGAAATTAAACGTAAAATTAAGCTGGATAAAGCATTGTGTCGTTAAGAGTGATTTGGGAGTAACTGCTGGTTTTATATGGTATTTTGTAACACTTATATGTATCTTATTATAATGAATAAAGTTGTGTGTTTTATGAATAAATGATATGAAGATGTTTTACGTACATTATTCCCTTGTGCTATGTCAGTTATTGTGAGAGAAGAGTGAGTTGAAGTGAGATTCTCGCTCATGGGAGACAAAATTTAGTGCTTATTTTGATGTTCTAATATTGAGATTTATACTCCTTCCGATTTTAATTCTCTGTACTTTAAAATTCTGAATACACATACAACTTTTGCACCCACACATACTTCATAAGTAGTATGAGTCTCGTGCACTGCAGGTAATAGATTTTCATTAATATTTATAAATTAATAATTATTATTAAGTAATATTTATAAATTAAAAATATGAAACCAATATGTAATACTATTATCTATACTAATTTATTGAAAATGTTATATAAAGTTTAAATTGTATAAAATTACATAAAAATGTCTATTTAAAATTAGTACGCAACCCGTGTGGTGCACATAACTGATAATAAATTACATTATATCCGTTTTCAAAATAAGTATCATTTCAAAATTATTATTCAGAAATTCGATTTAACTATAATGTAATTCTATAAAATAGAAAATATTGTAAAATGTTATTATATATTTAACAATCTATATGAATAATAAGTATAAATATAAAATTTATATTGTTTTTCATTACTTAAGATAATTTTTTTGTATAAACTATTCAAATAAGAAAAAATTAAATAGTTTAGTAATTTATTAAACTATAAATAATTGACTATTTCGTTTACGTCAAAGTTAGTATTGACCCATAAGTTATTGTCTAATTTATTAAACTATAGAAAATTGACTATTTCGTTTACGTCCAAAGTAATATTGACCTGTAAGTTATGAATAATTATTTTTTATTTTAAATTTTAAATATTTTTTTTATTTTTTTAATATATTATATACCAAATTTAAACCATGCAACCAATAAAAGTAGTAGCTGCAAGTTTTGTCAATATATTATATTTCAAATTTAAATCATGCAACTAATAAAGGTAATAACCGCATTATTTGACCAAAATGATTCTGTACGTTAATTTAGCGAGATTTTTCAAATTTTTCCCAAAAATATTACTCAATATAGTAACTACTTTAGGCGGAAAATTAAATATTTTTTCTTTTGCTGATTTTTAGTTGCTATTTCAAGTAAATATCATTGTCTCTTTATATATTAATAGATTAACGATTGAGAAATACTATAGGTACATAATATTGTACATAAGGGTGTACATAATGCTCATATTGAGTGGGACCAACCGAAAATAAAATGAGTTATGCTATAGCTAGGTACATAATATTGTATATAGGAGTGTACATAACACTCACATCGAGTGTGACCCACCAAAAATAAAAAGAAAAATGCTACAAGTACATAATAAATGTACATAGAGGTGTACATAACACTCACATAGAGTGGAGTCCACTTGATTTTTTATTTTTGGTGGGACCCACTCAATGTGAGTGTTATGTACACCCTTATGTATAATATTATGTTCCTATAGCATTACTCAAATAAAAAATCAAGTGAACCGCACTCTATGTGAGTATTATGTACACCTCTATGTACATTTATTATGTACTTACTTGTAGCATTTTTCTAATAAAAAATCAAGTGAACCACACTGCATGTGAGTATTATGTACACCTCTATGTACATTTATTATGTACTTGTAGCATTTTTCTTAACGATTTGTCCAAAAATATATTTCAAATTAACTAATGATATTAATTTTGAAAACCGAGCTTATTTCAAAAGGTTCATTTGTTCTATTATTGTGGAAAATTGAGCCTTAATTCAAAAGTTCACATGTTCTATTCTATTGTTGTGGAAAATTAAGTATTATATCAAAAGGTTCATTGGATAAAATAAAGTTTCTCGCCATAGTTGGTTGTTAAGGGATATATTAAAATAATATTTAAAATAAAATAATTAAGGTTGAATTGATGTAAAAGTAAGAGAGAGATGATTTGAATGGATGGTTAGTTAAAATTATGTGAGTAGATGAATAGTGAATTAAGGTTGATGTGATGTGTAAAAATGATTGGTTGATATTATTTAATTAAATTAATAATATTGATGATAGTGGGGTTGAGTTAAAATTGAGTTAAAAAAATGGTTGAGTTAAAAAAGTTTGGATTTTTTAGATAGTTTTTGTATCCAAACATCCTCTAAGAATCTCATTATTAACGAGTATATATCAAGAATCATGACCTCGAGTTAGTTTTTTTTATAATAATCATTTATAGTTTTGGCTTCTTTTGAATCAACCTAATAATTTAAACTTTTGCGTAATCTCTAATATGGTATAAGAATCTCCTATGATTAAAAACATAAAATAAAATTATACGAATAAAATAAAAAAATTATTTGAATAAATAATATTTTTAGGAGTGATACTCTCTTGAATACCAAATTTAGTGAACTTTGCTTTCACTTAATACTTATGTTGTAATATTGAAGTTTATAGTATTGTGCTACTATGCTATTCTCTTTTGAATTTTACTTTTATATAGTAAAATTCTCAATAAAATTACATTTTCTTAGACTTGATGATGAGTGATTTGTAAAACTAAAAACACACACACCAAAAAAAGAGAGAGAGAGAAAAGAATCTTTTCAAATCAAACCAATAAAAAGAGGATGTATTCAATTAGGATTTCTAAGGACTTTTTAAGACTTTAGAAATCCTGGTGTATTCAATTTAGATTTGTTAAGAGTTTTAAAAATTCTGGGGTATTCAATTGGGATTTTAAAAAGTCTTACAAAATCTCGAGGTATTAATTTGACAGTAGGATTTGTTAAGACTTTTTAAGATTTGGTGGAATTTGTAAACAAAAAACCTTACACGAAATTCTACTTCAAATCCCACCTCCAGACTTAGGATTTCAAGGAATTTCTCCGAAATCTGGAAATCTTAACAAATCTCAAATCTTAAAAAAGTCTCAAAATGTTAATTGAAATCTCATTTGAATACACCCTCCTTAGCCTTACATAAAAAATTCATTTGTTCAATTATTATGGGAAATTGAGTTCCAACAAGTTCGAACGAACAGTTTTCGAATTAATCAATCATATTTTAAAAAGTTGTTTTCTAAATTATTTGGACACGAACGAACTCGAAGTCTCGAACATAATATTTTGCTAATGAAAAATAAACGAATGAATGTGAATTGTGTCTGAACGTAAATGAACACAAATTCAAAATGCCTAAGCTCGACTCGATTACAGCTCTAATTAATGATAAGAGAATGAAAGTTGTCTCCTAAGATACTAGCAGTTGAATTACAACTCATGTTCTTAACCACTATTTCAACTTTTATAAACTATATTTATTTGAAAAGTTTAAATTTCATTTTTCGAAATCATAATTTAGTGTTGAAATTAANTGATCCCTACAATGACGAAAACACACATGTGGAAAAAGAAAAACCAATGATATTATGTGGAAAATTAAATCCTACATCAAAAAAATTATTTGAGAAAATAAAATAGACACATAATTTCGCGCCATTTATTAACGAGTTGTTGAGAGTTACTCGATAACATGGCAGAACATGATATGATTGGATTATACAGAGGTTGATAGTCTGTCTAATTTGACAAAATATAATATGATCAATTATAGATGGTTTGGGGGTATTGTACAAAATTGCAGTGCATGCTTAAACCTAAGAGTGAGCAAAACCAAGCCGAAACCGAAAAATCGAGCCGAACGGATCAATTCGGTACGGTTCGGTTTTTTCCAACATTGCGGTGTGGTGCGGTTATAGTTTTTCATAAATTCGATTTTCGATTTTCTTTAGTTCGGTGCGATTTTGCACCGAACCGCACCAAATTGAATAAATTGTATAGAAAAACTGAGGTAAAACCAAAAACCGAGCCAAACCATGCATTTTGGTACGGTTCGGTTCGGTTATTTTTGTGTAAAAAAATCGATTCGGTGCGATTTTGCACCGAACCGCAACATATTAAATAAAATGTATAAAAAAACTGAGATAAAACCAAAAATTTAGGATTAGCGCTTGGTTTGGTTCACTTTTTTAACACCTTGGAACTTTTGTGTAGCATCTCACGTGATGACCATAGAGAATTGAGTCATACATTGAAAAGTTTATTTGAGAACCACTCACTAATGAAAATTTTACTATTTTGAAATATTCAAAATCAATTATATTATGTAATTTTTTTTTTTATAATCATTTATGATTCGAATTATTTCTACTCTACCTAGTAAAAATATTGATTGGAATCAACTCACAGTTTGCACTTGTTATCTTATTTTATGTATAAAGACATCAGCAAAGACCAAAAATTAAAAACCACATGAATAAAATAGAAAACCCACTAGTGTATATCCCGTGCGATGCACGGAGGAGCTCATATTTTAAACTTTTTTTTAGACTTTATTTTAAATATAATTATTTATATTTTTCACATCTCATCTATTATGAAATTAAAATAAATGCAAAAGATAAAAAATATATATTATTGAACACTTCTCTTTATACAATATCTTTTATTTAAGAAATATTATCAAACCGATATGATTGTTAACGTACAAAAAATAATGGAAATAATCCAGACTTTAAAGTAAAACTTTTTTTTTATTATTTTACAAATAAAAATCATCCATATTTTTTATTTCAAAAAAATTTGGCAAGTTTGTTAATGAGTTAAATCAAGTTATACAAATGATTAAATAGTTAAACTATTATATTAATTATATTTTAAGAAATCCGATTATATAAATGTGGGTAAAATAATATTATGCTAATTAGTTTGTTAGGATTGTGATTATATGGAATTTAAGATAAAATCAAATGTAACCAAAAAATCTGTTCGTGGCCTTTTCCTTTAAATGTTTGAATTTAAAATTATATAACCAAATTTACATTATATCACATAAGGAAAAATAAATAATAATATTTATGAATATGTTTAAAAATTTAATTTTGAATTTCAAATAGAGTAGAAGACGGAATAATTCAAATTTGTTTTCAAAACGTTTTTAAAGTCTTTAGTATTCTGATAAGTATACCCGTAAGAATAATCTTACTATTTTAATTTCAAAAATTTTGGCAATTTTGTTAATAAGATAAATTCGGTTAGACAAAAGATTAATTAGTTAAAATATTATATTAATTATATTTTAAAAATTCCAATTATATAATTGTAATTGTATTAATTAATTTGTTAAAATGTGATTATATGAAAGTTAAGACAAAATGTAATGTACCCAAAAAATCTACTTAGGATCTTTTTCATTAAATGTTTGAATTTAAAATTTTAATATCGAATTTCGATTATATCACATAATGAAAAAATAAATAATAAACGTTTATTAATATATTAAAATATGTAATTTTGAATTTCATATAAAGTATAAGGTATGATATTTCAAATTTATTTTTTAAATAAAAGCTATGATAAAATTTATTGTTTCTCTTTCAAAATATTAATAAATAAAAATATAAATCCAAACAAATTTTGATAAAATGGAATGTACCCAAAAAATATGTTTGTAATATTTTCTTTAAACAATTTTTTTTTTTCAATTTTAAACAAAAGATATTCATAATCAGTTGAAAAAAAAGAAGTCAAATATACTGCTAAAATAAAAATCTATTTTCCCTAATCAAAAGGAACTTGAATTTATCCTATATGGAAGGAATCTCATCCAAAATATATTGAACTCATCCAAAACATACTGAATTTCAGAATGAAAAAATTTCAAATGTTCGAAAAAATTTCAAACAAAATTTTAGGAGGGAAAAAATGATTTGAGCGGTAAAATGAAATAATTTTTCAAACATTTTTCTTCTCACTATTATATAGTAATAGATTGGAAAACCAAAATCCACTTGAAACAAGATTGAGGTAGAGTGAGATACCACCCATGGAGAAGGTGAACTTTTCCTCTTGATCTTAATGTTCTAATACTAAAATTCATAATTTTATGCTCCTTCTATATTGATTTTCTATTACGAAATTCTCAATTAACTTGCAACTTTTGCACCAAAAGGACTTATGATGAATAATTTGTTCAAAAGTTCATTTCGAATCAACCACGATATTAATTCTTAAACTTTAGCTTTAAATGAAAAAATTCATTTGTTCATGGGAAATTGAGTTTCAACTAGTTAGAACGAACTATTTTAGAATTAATCAATCATATTTTAAAAAGTTTGTTTTCTAAATTATTTGACACGACCGAACTCGAACTTTAACGAACGAACTCCAAGTCTCGAACACATTATTTTGCTAAAAAAATAAACAAACGAATATGAATTATGTCCGAACGTAAACGAATACAAATTCAAAATACCTAAGCTCGACTCGATTTTAGCGGTCACTAATGATAAGAGAATGAACGTTGCCTCCTAAGATACAAGCAGTTGAAATACAACTCACGTTCTTAACCACTATTTCAACTTTTATAAACTATATTTTATTTGAAAAGTTTAAATTTCATTTTAAAAATCATAATTTAGTGTTGAAACTAAACACACAAAAAAAAAAATAAAAAAAATGAAACACCTAATCTCATCCTAAGCCTATAAAACCCTCTTCATAAACATCTTCAGAGTTGATCAAAGCTTAAGCAAAACTTAATCACTCTTTGGGAAAAAAAAAAAGAAGAAAAAACAAGGTAACAACAAACTACCCCGATCCCTACAATGACGAAACTACCCTTATTCCACTCGATTACCCTGTTGCCATTCCTCGTCTTTCTTCTCTCATCTGTGTCCTTTTTCGTAAATTCAAAATACATTCCCGCCGAAAGAACCGCCTTGCTAAACATGAAGAAAGTGTGGGGCAACACAACAGCCATCCAACACTGGACCCTCGCGCCGTCTCCCTGTCACTGGCGGGAGATCAACTGCTCTGCCGCTGGAGCCATCACAGGAATCAACATCAACAACTACTACATCACCGGTGCCGTGTCGGACTCCATCGGCCACCTCCACAACCTAAACCATATCGATTTCGATAACAATAAACTCGAGAGAGAATTCCCGGCCGCTGTACTCAAGTGTTCGATGCTCGAGTATTTGAACCTCTCATACAACCACTTCGTGGGGGATATTCCGGCCAGAATCGATCGGCTCAAATCTCTCCGGTGGAGATCTTCAACCTTTTGAACCTGGAGCACTTAGATCTTTCTAACAACACCTTCAAGCAGGAGAATTTACCTCACGAGTTCGGAAATCTCAGGAAACTCAAGTTTTTTTGGATGAGGCTGGTGAACATCACCGGAGAGATTCCTGAGAGCTTGGGGAATTTGTCCAGCCTCACCTCTTTGGACTTGCCTTTGAACCATATCGAAGCCTTTTTTGTTGAGAAATTTGAGAGTAATTTACTTGTTTACCAATCGGCTTTCGGGTCTGATTCCTCTAGTAATCGAGTCATTGGATTTGGTGGAAATCGACCTATCCATGAATTACTTGAGTGGTCCCATCCCGAAAGATATCGGGAAACTCAAAAAGTTGGAGCTTTTGTATCTTTATAGAAACAAACTATCGGGCAAATTGTCGCCGAGCATAGCCTGACTTCCCAGCCTTAAATATTTTGCTGTTTTCACGAATAATCTAAGTGGAGCTCTACCTAATGAATTGGGAAAACACTCGAAGCTCATTGACATCGAAGTTTGTGACAATCTTTTCACCCGAAAACTGCCGGACAATTTGTGCGGAGGTGGTGCTTTGGGTTATGTGTAAGCTTTTGAAACAAATTTACGGGCGATATTACGAAATCATTGGCTAAAATCCAATTTTGGTCCGCTAACTTGTCCACTTTCCAGTTTTGGTCTACTATCTTTCCCCTCATCAAAACTGGTCCATTATGTTACTATTTTCATCAGAATTAGTACATTAATCCCGAGGGCCGGGATTACGAGATGACGTGGAAATGGATCGGAACGACGTGGACTTTTTTTCCACGCTGGAAGACGGATCGGAACAACATGGCATATCTGTGGCATATATATGGCATTTCCCCTCTTTTTCCATCATCTTCTCTCTCCCCGTAACCCTAATTAACCCGTTCCCCTCTTCTTCTCACTCAATTTCGACGATAATGTCTTCTTCTTCTCACTCACAATCTTCTCAACCCATCGTGTACTGCAAATGCCTTGAAAGAACTACAATCCGCACTTCGAAGACGTCCTCAAATCCTGGGAAGAAGTTCCACGGCTGTAAGAACTAGAATAATGGTGATTGCACATCCTTCAAATGGTGTGAAAATCAATCAACCACCCAATCGCATGTTTCGTCGGATTCAATCTTGGAATTGGAGCGGAAGTTTTCTCTGATTGAAGAGCAAAAAACATCAATGGCGGAGCTTCAGAGGAAGATTGTGGTTCTTGAAGCAGAGTTGCAGTCCTTGAAGAAAGTGAACAATGCTCATTTATCATCTACTATGAAGAAATTAAGATGTCTGGAATTTATTGTAGTTATCACTTGGTTTATCGGTTTTATTGGTGTTGTAGTAATGAGATTGTGGAAAACAGTTGTTTTGTGTTTTGGCTTATCTGATGTTAATCAGATTCTAAATCTGATTCTAAATTTGATCTGTTCTATTGTTGTTGTTGTAATGAGATTCTGAATTTGATCTGTAGGGCATTTGTTATGCTATGCTATATTGTTTTGGCTTATCTGGTGTTAATCTAAGTGTGATTCTAAATTATAGTGAGCTTGAGTTCCATTGATTTGTTTTTTACAGTTAAAACCTGGCACAGAATATACATTACCACAAAACATATGAAGTACACCAAAAGTAAAAGAAACAAATTCCATTGAAATTCCACAAACAAAAGCAACAAAATAGCATCCATATCCTGTTCAAAAGTTTCCACTAATGCACTAGACCAAAAGCACCAAAACAGAGCTAATCATGTTCAACAACTCCAACAACTGAAGTGCACCAAAAACACCAAAAACACCAAAATTAGTTCTAAAAATTGTTCAACCACCAAAAATAACAAAAGTTATCTACCACCAAATCAAGTCATCCAGATCAACAAATTCAGCCATCATAACAAATAAAAGAGTAACTACATTCAGTTTGGACCATTGCCTTTCTTCTTGACATAGTCTTTTACTGAATTCATGCAACCCACTAAGCTGCTTATGGAAGTATACTTCTGGCCAGCTTCTGCAAATATTTCTTTCATCCTTGTTTCTCTCCCTGATATGCAACTCTCTTGACTAGGGATGAAATGGTTACCAACAATAGGTGTTGGTCCTCTAAAGTTGACACCTTTACTTGGCACTGTCTGTTGGAATTGTTGAAAAATCGTAAGTGGTTGCTTGTATTGTTTCAAGGTTGGTCTTGTAAATTTCACCTGTATACATGGATTCAAAATTCATAAATCAATACATACAACCCAGTCTTGATGCATAATTGATTAGCTTTTAAATTAAATGCATAATTGAACATCAACTGAATACATAGTACCTGTGAGGCTTCTTTAGTTGATATTCCAATTGCTGGAGCAGGTTCCCCTTTGTCCTCTCTTGTTACCTGTAAATTTATTTACAAATGTCAAATAAGTGAGAAGTGCAACTTATTAGCTATCACATTAAATGCACACAGTACCTGCGAGGTTTCTTGATTTGATATACCAATTGCTGGAGCAGGTATACCTTTGTCCTCTCTTCTTACCTCCTATATAATTTGGATTAAATAAGTAAGAAGTACAACTGATTAGCTATCCATAAATTGAACATTAACTGAGTACATAGTACATAGTACCTTTGAGTTATTCACACTCTGACTTGAGTTTGGGTTTACAGCCTTCAATAATGGACACCCCTTCTTGTTGTGGCCTTCCACATGGCAATATGAGCACTTACAAGTCACTTGTTGTCTTCTGATAGTTTGCTCTGTGGTCACAACCCTTACCTTCCCTCTTGGCCTTTATTTAGTTTTGGGCTTATCTGGCTCCCTTCTCCTAGCATACTTGGCCTGCCAGGTGTCCTACCTTCATTAGAGGGCAAAGGTGGTATGAAACCAGTAGGAGCCCACTCTTTCCTACCATTGATAGGCATGACTACTGGTTCATATACTCTTTTGTAAGTGTCAACCTTGTAGCAAGAGTGAGTGAAATCTTCAACTGCCCAACCTTGCAAGTGCACAATACTTAGTGCATGAAGACAAGGAATTCCACTTAGTTGCCACTTTCTACACCCACAAGTCTGTGCCCTCATATCAACTTTATACTGCTCTCCATTGCCACAGTCAACCTGGAAATTGAAGTCATCAGCTTTCAGTGGAATACATTCCACCAAGTTATTAATTTGTTTATCAATGATCTGCTTAATCTTAGGGCACAAGGGAAAATTCCACTTATTTGCAGCCTTGTCCCTATTTTCTTACATTCTTTTCATTAAATACTTCATGATCCATTCCAGCATAGTCAAAATTGGTTCCTCCCTGGCCTCAAGAATGTTACAGTTGAAGGTCTCACATCCATTATTCAGTAGGATATCACACCTTGGGAATTCACTGAAATGAGACCTACTCCATTCAATGGGTGGTTTACCAGCCAACCACTTGTAAGCTTCTCCATCCAAATCCTTCAGATATTGCATTTTCCTGCTGAAATCATTTATTGTTGTGGCTGTGGCACACCTCCACACAACATTTTTCAATGCTAATCCTCTGAACCCTGCATTTCTGAAATTCCCAAGCAAATGTCTAACACAAAATCGATGATCACAGTTAGGTAAAATGTTCTGGAATGCTTGTATTAAGCCTTTCTGTTTATCATACATAAATGTCCACTCATGCTGATTCTTGATTTCCAAATCATTCTTAAGAAATATCAAAAACCATTCCCAGTTATCTGTATTCTCCACATTAACAACTGCATATGCCAAGGGAAAAAGAACATTATTAGGATCAATGCCCACAACAGTAAGTAATATACCTTTATTAGGCCCTTTTAAATGGCAACCATCCACACCTACCAAGGGTCTACAGCCAGCCTTAAATCCTTGTTTTAGTGCATTTAGACATATGTAGAACCTCTGAAATATGTTGTCACCATTGCACTGGTTAGTATCTAAGACTACAATACTCCCCGGATTTGTTTTTCTTATTTTCTCACAGTAGTCCCACAACAATGCATACTGAAAATGGGGTTCTCCCTTCTGATCTGCAATAGCTTTCAACTTGCATCTATATGCTTGTTGGTTGGAGATATGCACCCTAAGCTCTCTGGCTGCATATTTTCTAAAACCACTAACATTTCTTTTAGGATCATCTTGCCATTCAGTGGCATACTTCCCTGCCATCCAACTAGAGTTTAAATTTTTAACTCTTCCTGTGCCTGCACAAGTGTGCCTATGAATGTACTTAATGATCTGAAATGTTGCCTCACCTACAAGTTTGACTGCATGAATTTTTCAAGGGCACAATTTATCACAACATTTTGCCCTCAGATACTGCTTATCATTCTTGACAATTTGAACATTTCTCTTGCATTTTATTGCTCTAGAATGAATAGCTATCCTCAGTTCTTTTTTTGAAGTAAACACCATTCCCACTTTAAAGCTGGGATCATACAACTCCATTGGATTAAAAGAAGGAAACTCTGGTTCACAATTACCATCTTCCTCATCAGAGTTGTTCTTACCATCTAAATTATCCCTGTAAACCACATCTGCTCACCATCACTATCTTCCTCATTTTCAACATAATTGTCCACAGCTTCAAACACAGATTCAGACCCTCCCCACTCAGCTTCACCATCAACGTATTCAGAAAACAACCTATCATCTATTCTATCTTCACTCATGTCATACTACGAATCATACAACTCATCACTGTCATCATCTCCCTCACCATTCTCACCCTCATTCACTTTTTCTACACCACACTCACTCTCATTTTCACCATTATCTTCTTCACCATGAACAACCCCACCATCATTTTCACCAACCATTCCATCTCCTACTCCACAATCATTCTCACCAACCAGCCATCTCCTACTTCTCCTTTATCTTCACCATTGACTACTGAACCTCCACTTTGACCTTTCATATCATCCACATAAATATGAATGTCTCTAAAAGTACCCACTTTCTCATCCCAAATCCTGTACAAATCCATGTCATTATTTAATAAAAGAAACCAACCACCTGTTCTGGGCTTTTTAACCCCTCCCCTCTGTGCAACACTAACAAAATCATCAAGACCAACTTGCCCAAAGTCAACATAATCTACAATAACACTCTCACCTCCAATATATACTGAGATATTTGGCCGAATGTCAAAAATGCCCCCATAATGAACACCAAGAGTAAGAAAGTTACTCTTCACTGCTGAAAATAAAGAATAAACATTTTTCAACACAAGGACCACCAAAAAATCAATGGAAATTTTGTGCAAGATTCTCAAACACAGAGACCAAATGAAAACCCAAAATTTTACCAAACTTAAACCCTAATTTCGGAAATTCACTACATTTAAACCCTAATTTTACAAACATAAACCCAAATTTTAGAAATTCACTAGATGTTTACAAAACTTAAACCTTAATTCGGAAATATCTAACAAAAATTACCGTATCTAGGAGGGGCTAGATGTTCATCTTCATTTGCTCGCAACTTCATCTTGCAGTTAGGAACATCGATTCCAAGAACAATCTTCTGAAACACTCCCAAATCTTGATCTCCTGGTGGTATTTTAATCGCAGACATCGATTTCGGCCGTCGTCGCTTCATTTCGAAGAAATTTAGGGATTTTCAATTTAGGGATTTTGAAATCGGGTTTCTGTTTTACAGTACCTAAATTATGTATTTTTATATTAAGATTTCGGGAAAAAAAAATAAAAAAAAAAAATAAAAGTATGTTGAGTGAGATGGCATGTTAAAATGCCACGTAAAACCTTATTAAGAAAATCAGGTAGTTATCCTTCCACGTCAAAATCATATCCTTCCACGTCGTTACAATCCGTGTCCACGTCATTTGGTTATCCGGCCCTCGGGATTAATGTACTAATTTTGATGAAAATGGTAACATAATGGACCAGTTTTGATGAGGGGAAAGATAGTACTGGACCAAAACTGGAATGTGGACAAGTTAGCGGACCAAAATTAAATTTTTGCCCGAAATCATTAGGAAATTGCCAAACGCTTGTCGTCGCGTGGCTGTTCAGTAATCGCTTCTCGGGCAAGCTCCCGAGTAAAATATTGTCGAATTTAACTGAGTTAGATGTAAGTGACAACGAGTTTAGCGGTGAAATTCCGACTAAGGTTTCGTCGTGGACGAATTTGGGTGTGTTCAAGGCAGGCAACAACAAGCTGTCGGGCACAACCCCGACTGAATTGGCAAGCCTAAAAATGCTTACGACTTTGAATCTTTCCTCGAATAATTTATCGGGTTCAATTTCACCTGAGTTTGGTTCTTTACATGCACTTCATAGTTTGGATTTGTCGAATAACCAACTTTCGGGTGAGATCCCACCTCAGTTAGGAAACTTGACACTCACTTTCCTAAACCTTTCTTCGAATCATTTCACCAGAAAAGTTCCCGACAAGTTAGATAATGTGGCGTTTAACGGAAGTTTTCTGAACAATCCGGGTCATTGTGCCACAATCAAAATCTCCGGCCTTCCTGTTTGCACCGAACTTCCAAAATCTCCGGCTTTCACGTGCGCAAGTGGAAATTAAACGTATGAGCAGTAAAGTTAAGCTGGATAAAGTATTGTGTCGTTAAGAGTGATTTGTGAGTAACTGCTGGTTTTATATTGTATTTTGAAGCACTTACATGTATCTTGTTATGATGAATAAAGTTGTGTATTTTATGAATAAATGATATGAAGATGTTTTACGGACATTGTCCCTTGTGTTATGTCAGTTATTGTGCTAATGATGTTTCTGGGTTGGGGACTTTTTATATCACGTTTATTACAACCGATATAAAAACTCTTTTTCGAATTGTATTTTGTTCCACTTGCAACCTTGTGCCAACTGTTAATACACTATATCAATACATAACATAACGGTGAAACATGACAAAGGCAGTTCATACTGTCATAGCTAGTAATAACCACCTAATTAAACAGGGAAATAGCTAATCAATTAGAATAATTTCAACAAACATTAATAAGTCTCGCTTAACCTCTCTTCCAATCAACTCACGGGAAAAGTTCCCGATGAATTTGATAACATGGCTTACAAAGACAGTCTTCTAAACAATTCTAATCTTTATGTCACTACTAAGATCATCTCCAATCTTCCATTTTGTGAGGCCAAAGTTTGAAAAACCAACAAAGTAGCACATAAAATGCTTGTTATGATTCAATTTCCAGTTTGCGATTTTTTTTTTCAGTTACGTTTGAAACTTGCTCAGCCAACGAATCCGTGGATTAAAACAGTCCGTGGGTTAGATGGAAACATGGAATCTTAATTGTGTCTATGTGTTATATAGTAGCCAAATTCTTGGTGATCAAGATTTATTTTGATCTGTTATCATCTGTATATGATGTTGTTAAACATCAAACCTTGTTTTTCTTAGCTCGAGCTTATAATGCGTACATGTCCATCGCTCACGAGTGAACGTTCAATGGAAAATGCACTGCAGATTACTGGGATTTTAATGTTTGTAATGCATTTCGAAAATATAACGGATTCCAAATAAAAATTAATGAGTGTTATATTAAAGAATAGTATATATATATATATACACATATATGTGTGTGTGAATTCAATCTAGAGTGTAGATAATTTTCAAAAATAAAAATAAAAAATGAATAAAATCAATGATACGAGCAGATTCTTTGTTCCACTCTTCCTTTTTTTTTTTGTTTTTTGTCCACTTATTATTTTTTTATTAATAAATATATAAATCTCCCCGTATGAGCAGCCCACATGAGCGACTAAAGAGTTGACCTTTGTGGTCAGCTGTACCGTCAAGATTCATGATAATCGTTGGTTCAGACTTTCAGTCAACCTCAGCTGTTACCAAATTTAAATTTATTCAAGTATTTTTCTGGCGTTTCAGCAATTCGATATTTTATATTATTTCTTTTTCCATTTATTGCTGAAAACAATTTTGTGGAAACAAAAATGTTTGGCCTTTGAAGGTTGACCAACCCTTAGAGAGGCGGCGGGTAATTCATTTTTGCCTAATTGCTTTTTTTTTTTTTCTTCAAGGATTTTAATTTTTATTTTAAACTAGAATACGAGCAAACTGTTGTATCAATTATTAAGTTGAATCTAGGAGTTCTATCATAGCGTATAAATACAAAAACTAAGGGCGTGATTGTATATGAATTGTACAGTAAATATTCCAATCAAAACTCAAATTTAACTCTACTTTAACTCAACTCCACTATCTCCAATATTATCAATATAATTAAATAATATCAACCAATCATTATTACACATCACATCAACTTTAATTCACTATTCATTCACTCACATAATTTTAACTAACCATCACTTCCAATTATTTTCTCCTACTTTTACATCAAATCAATTTTAATTAATTTAATTTAAATATTATTTTAATATATTCACTAACAACTAACCATACTACTTTTTTCTAAACTTAACTATAATTAATAAATAACCAATTTTTTACTAGTTGAATTCTTATCCAATCACCCCCTAACAAATTTACATATGTGGAAACTAATAAAAGCATAAAAAGTCAAACACAATGACAAAAAACACACTAAAATAGAAAAATAAAATAAGTAAACTTAAATGTACACTCCTCAAGTTAATCTGTCACCACCAATAAGACCACAAGCTTAAGCCGCTAAGACCATCTCCAACCGAAAAACTCATTCTCAAACCCATTTTGCAGTAACTGTCACATCAAACACTAATTTTTCTCCAACCGACAAACTCATTCTCAAACTCAAAAGAATATTCTCAAAATATTCTCTTTCCACATCAACTTTTATATTTTTCAATACTACCAATATATTTTACAACTTTACAAATTAGACCCACTATTATTTTATATTCTATTTGAACAATATATAATAAATTTACTAAAAAGTAAAAATTAATAATTCATACAGATAAAAAAAAATATTGGCTTATTAACGAAATATTTTCTTTTAATAGTTATTCAATAATACCTTATGTTTAAAAAATTTATAAATTTAGTTGCTAGTATTAATGGCTTCTTTCTTTTTTAAGTTCAACCATGTAGAGTTCATTTTCTTATTAGCAAACTAGTGTGTACCCCGTGCGATGTACGGAAACAATATTAAATTAACAATATTATAAATAGATCTCGAGTTTGAGTCACTGACGGAAGTGGAAACTACTATTCATCCTATTTAAAAAGAGAAAGAAAAAAAATAATTATAAAGTAAAGAGGAGGATAAACAATACTTAATAATTATAAATTAAAGATTCGGGGTCAAATAATATAAAACTATTTTGTATAAGAAAATATGAAATTTACATTATTTTATATAAGAGAATATAAAATTTGCATGTTTAATATTAAAAATACCTAAAATATTATATTAGTATATATGTAAAAGTATTCAAAATTTTCTATATTATTTTTGAAAGACGTGAAGTCATCTACAACTTTTCTAAACAATTTTAGAAGGAAAACATATCTAAGAACATTTGAATTTAACATTGTGTAAAAAAAAATTTTCTAGACTATTTTGTAAAGAAAATATATCTATATTTAAATTTAATATGTGTATATGTATATATATATATATATGCGTATGTTCTGTATAGTTTTTTAGAGATAATAATTCAACACATGTATTTGTTTTAAGAAATGAATAACAAACTTAATATCAGTTTTGAATAATGATAAGGTGTATGAAATATCTTCTCCTTATAATAAGATTTTGTTTTTGAATCTTAAAATTATCGCAAATATCTTCTCTTTATAATACGATTTTTTTTCTTCAATTTATCGTCAAAAATAAAATATGTTTAAAAGGGTTACCATAAAAAACTATGTGATATGGATGCTCGTGTGAAATGAGATTATTTCGTTACCATAAAAAATTATGCGATAAGGACACTTTTACTGCGATAAGGACGCTTTTAATGAGGCATGCGAGGCGTGTGAATTGGGGTTATTTCATGAGAATTAAATCGGTATAATTAATGAGTTTAAAAGGCATGTGAAAAGGACATAAATGCTGAATGTGTGAAATGGACATAAGAGTTACCGATTTTGGAAAGTAATAAATGCAAAATTGACTTTGACCATTAATTAAGTTACTAATTTTGATAAATGTTAATTCTTATTATATAAGTATAGATTTTAAAATTACTCTCATTTTCTAAAGAATATTTTAAAAATATTATCCTAATTAACTATCATCTATAGCACATGTATATATAAACCAAACTTTGAAATTAATATGTATTTAGTAATTGAAAATTCAAAGTAGAACTAGCTTGTTTTATTAATTTAGGCCAACAATGTTTTTCAAAATTTTTATATTATTAAATCACTTGGATACTTTTTGTTAATTTAATGGTACATAATATTTGATAAACATTTTTTGGTCTATCAATTTTTTATCTTTATTTTATTGTTTAAAAAACTAGCTTAAAGAGGTCATAAATGTTTCTATGGCTATAAATGTAATTATCTAAAAATAAAGGACAAATTTATAGTGAACAACAAAATTATGCGTTCATCAACAGTGCAGACGCATATTTGAGGTGAGAGGAGAGAGAAAAGTGTCTCAAACGCATTTTGCGTTTGGTTTTGAGTATCGATTGGAGGAAATTATCCGTTTGCGTTTGAGTATTGGAATCGGTTGGAGTTGCTCTAACAGCCACCCTAAAAAAGGCCACCATCATAAACTCAAAAACATATACCAACTCACAAGAGTCAATCCATCCGCGAGATGAAGAAAGCACGGCATATCTAAAGACAACAAATTCAAGAAGTCTAGTTAACTCAAACGACTAGTCAAATCNCCATCATTAGCAGACGTTAACTAATCTGGGAAGGAGTCCCGGAGTCGGCGCCACTGGTGGTCTGTCGGACGACAACCCCACTAGAAAAGAAATTGGACAGAGAAGATTAAAAAAACTCATTAGAATGTAATAACTAAAAAAAATATTGTTTACCAAACCCTCATTTACAAACTGTTAATATAATTTGCTGATTGAATCAGTTAGTACAATCAATTTTAAATTATTCACCTATAGAGTGGCTAATTGTTAAATAAAATTATAGCATCTTGTCATTATGATGTATGTAATTTTATCAATTATTTCATTTGTTTTAAAATTAATTCCAACANAAAAAAAAAAAAAATCTAGGCCTTTGATTTGCTCAAGACGATGTGTAATTTTTTCCATGATATGATGATGATTGATGTGTTAGAATTCTAAAAATAACGACATAAACAGTGCTTTATTGTGTTGATTAACATTAAACCATACATTATCTAGATTGGTTGTTCAAGTCAAAAAGTTAGTTTTTATTGTATTTGATCAAGGGACCCGTGTGAACCTTCTACTTTGTCTGTTCTAAAAGGCTCCAAATCGTGTAAGACCAAAATTCTACGTTTGACTTACGCACTCACCTCATAATTGTAGAGACTCCTTTTTAGCGAAGAATATATACTTATGATTGACTTAATTGGTATTACTTTTTTTATTTTTCACCTTTTATAGAATAGTTAGCCATGTATTTTGTAATTTTTTTGGCCAACAAAATATTGAATCAATATAATGTGGAAAAATGTCATATTACATCATTGGTTGTTGCCTAAATTATGAAAAGTTGAATAGTAAAAAAAATGAACTGGTTCATACACAAAGTGATCCTATTTTCTCTTTAAACGAAATTTCAGTTCAAAATTTATGGTGAAATGTGTTCACAGTGAGATAAATTTTTATACGATGAAAATCCCAAACAAAATACAATTGAGTTTGAAATACACATCCACCTAATGTATCCTTAAAAACAACTCCTTCACTTTCAAAATATTGATTTTTATTTACACAAAAATATAAAAACTCACAATACATATGTTTGTCAAAGATTCTCTTAAAAAAATCTTTCTAAATCTTCTATTTATGTATATCTTTTTAATAATTTTAAGAAAATCAATAATTTATGATAAATATAAATTATGAGAATTTTCGTAAGATTTTATATATACATAGAACAATAGTCTATAATGATAAATAATAAAAACAAAAAATCTAAGTTATAATGACCATTTAAATAAAAAAGGAGAAAGTATATAGGAGGTAATTGGATATTTGAAAAAAAAAATCCCACCAAAAAGAAAAAAACAAAATCGTTTCATTCATCTCACATTCTTTGCTTACTCTCAACAAAATTTTAAATTAAAAAATCAGTTCATACTACTCATTATTTCATATAATTTATTATTTACTTAATAACATTTTCATAAATATCAATTGTTATCATTATATTAATAATTATTACAGTAAGTAAATATTTTATATCACTATAAAAATTAGTAATTATTCCACTAAACCTTATTTTCTAAATAAATACCCCAAATAAACACATGTACAATGCACCCATAATAATTTGTCGAATCTAATTCCAATCAACTAGCCCACAAATTAATGGAAACTGAAAAGAGGAAAAGAATATTAAATAAAAAAAAATGAAGTGGACAAGAACAAAACAAAAAAAAATGGTGGAAATAAATAAAAAGCACGTATTATGAGAGTACGTTTTGCATGTAAATTTTCAATGAAAAACGTATTCTCAGAATACGTGCTTCAAAACATATTCTCAGAAGTTTTTTCATGTAAATTCTCATTGAAAAATGAATACGTGCTTCATTTTTCAATGAGAATTTACATGCAAAACGTATTCTCATAATACTGATTTTTTATTTCGGTCCAATTTTTTTTTTTCTTTTATTTGTGTCCATTTGTTTTCTTTTTTGTTTTATATATATAAATTTCCCCAGTTCAAACTCCATAATTAACTAACCAACATTACCAACCGAAAAAACCCCACTAAAAAAACCTCTCTCCCTCCGGCATCTCTAAATGACCAAACTACCCTTCCCTCCCGCCAAAACCCATCTAGCCCTCCTCATCCTCCTCCTCCTCCTCTCCACCGTGCCCCTTTCTGTAATTTCACAATCCAACCGCTCCGAGAGATCCGCCCTGTTGAGCCTCAAAGCCCAATGGGGCGACCCCCATGGCCTGCTCCAATCCTGGAACGACACGTCGCCCCACTGCGACTGGCCTGGAATCCAGTGCTCCGCCGCCGGCGGCGCCGTCGCCGCCCTCATCCTCAACAACTTCAATCTCAGCGGCGGCGTCCCGGACTCCATGTCCAGCCTCGAGAGCCTCACAGTTCTTGATCTTGGCTTCAATTACTTTGCCGGAAAATTCCCCACGGCGGTTTTGAACCTCTCGAAGCTCGAGTATCTCGACCTCTCGCAGAACTACTTCGCGGGGGCTATTCCGGCGGGAATCGGCCGGCTGGAGTCGCTCCGGTACCTCGATCTCAGCGCTAACAGCTTTACCGGCGATGTTCCTCCGGCCATCGGGAACCTCAAGCAGCTTCGGACTCTGTACCTCTACCAGAATTTTCTCAACGGGAGCTACCCGGTGGAGATCTCGAATCTGGAGAATCTCGAGACACTAGGCCTGGCGTTTAACCGCTTCACGCCGGCGGCCATACCGCCGGAGTTTGGGAGATTAACTAAATTGGAAGTTTTCTGGATGAAGAAAGCAAACGTGGTCGGTGGAATACCCGTGAGCTTCGAAAAGTTATCGAGCCTGACGAAGTTGGATTTATCGGAGAACGGTATGGAAGGCCCGATTCCAGCTGGCTTGTTCTCGCTGAAGAACTTGAGTAGGGCTTATCTGTTTTACAATAGATTTTCCGGTTCGATTCCTCCGGTGACCGGCTCATTTGGTTTGGTCGAGATCGACCTATCTATGAACAACTTGACGGGCAAAATTCCTGAGCATTTTGGGAAGCTGAAAAGTTTGGAGGTTTTGAATCTGTATGCAAATAACCTGTTTGGTGAAATTCCTCAAACGATTGGACTGTTACCAAATTTGAAAACATTCCGGGTTTTCAAGAACAATTTAAGTGGGATATTGCCACCTGAAATGGGCAGCCACTCGAGGCTCGAATCTTTCGAGGTTTCCGATAATCATTTCGCCGGTAATCTGCCGGAAAATTTGTGCTCCGGTGGTGCTTTGATTGGCGTGGTTGCTTTTAGCAACAATTTAGCGGGAAAAATTCCAGAACCACTCAGCAGTTGTCAAACCCTTCGTACAGTTCAGCTTTATGGCAATAATCTATCAGGTGAAATCCCATCAGGCCTTTGGTCTGTACTAAACTTGACCAGTCTCATGTTGAGCGATAACAGGTTTTCTGGAAAGCTCCTGAGTAAAGTAGCCCCGAATTTGTCTCGTGTGGAAATAAACAACAACGAGTTTTCAGGCGAAATTCCGTCTGAGATTTCGTCTTGGACGAGTTTAGCTGTGTTTAAGGCAAGTAACAATATGTTATCCGGCTTAATCCCGAAAGGGTTGACTAATCTTTCCCAGCTCATCACGTTGATGCTCGATGGGAATTCACTTTCCGGTGTATTACCATCTGAGGTAACTTCATGGAAATCTCTCACTATTCTGAATCTAGCCAGAAATAATTTATCCGGCGAAATCCCACCTGTGTTTGGCTCTTTGCCTCACCTTCTTGATTTAGACTTGTCGAGCAATCACATTTCAGGTAATATCCCTCCTGCCTTTGAACATCTGAAGCTAACTTCTCTTAACCTATCTTCGAATCAACTCACCGGGAGAATACCGAGTGAGTTTGATAACATTGCTTACGAAAACAGCTTCTTGAACAACCCAAATCTTTGCACCACCACAAACAAAATCTCGAACCTTTCCAGTTGTGTTATTTTGAAATCTCGGGTCATCAAAAAACAGTCACACGGATATTTATCCACGATTCTAGCTCTATTACTGGCTCTTTGTTCGATCGCCATTTTCGCCACGTGTTTTTCAGTTAAGTACTTCAGGCGAAAGAAGCTTAGCCGTAATAAGGCTACGTGGAAATTAACCTCCTTCCAAAGATTGAATTTTACTGCTGGAAATATTCTGTCTAGTTTGGCAGAAAGTAATATGATCGGCAGTGGTGGGTCGGGCAAAGTGTACAAAATCCCGGCCGATCGTGAAAATGAATATGTGGCCGTGAAGAGGATTTGGAGCGAGAAGAAAAAGGATCATTTTCTCGAGAAAGAATTTCTAGCCGAGATCGAAATACTCGGTTCTATTCGCCACTCGAACATCGTGAAGCTTCTGTGTTGTGTTTCGGGGGATGATTCGAAGCTTCTTGTTTATGAGTATATGGAAAATCAGAGTCTTGATATATGGCTACACATGAAAAGGAGAAAAGCTTTTCAAGCTCGGGTTAGCAAAGATGTTTTGGATTGGCCTTCAAGGTTGAGAATCGCCATTGGAGCTGCGGAAGGCCTTTGCTACATGCATCACGGTTGTGATATGCCGATTATTCATCGTGATGTGAAATCGAGCAACATCTTGTTGGATTCTAATTTTAACGCGAAAATAGCCGATTTCGGTTTGGCCAAGATTTTGGCCAAGAAAGGGGAGGCTAATACAATGTCTGCTGTTGCTGGCTCCTTCGGATATATTGCTCCTGGTAATTGTAATAATAATAATAAGGGTCTACTGTTAAATTAAACGAGCCGAGGGTNTCAGTTGATCAAAAAGCACAACTTAATATTAGTTTCTCTTTTGCATACTGCATTTGAACAAAGTGTTCTTGTTATATACGAAAAAAAGAAGCTTGATGATTGCAGGTTCCAATTATCTTTTTTACTTTATGACTGATAAGTGCTAACTATCTATTATGATTTTTGCAGAATATGCTTATACGACGAAAGTGAATGAGAAAATCGACGTTTATAGCTTTGGGATCGTGCTGTTAGAGATCATGACCGGTAAGGAGCCCAATATAGGGAACGAGCATATGGGCCTTGCCGAGTGGGCCTGGGAACACTACGGACAAGGAGAGCCCATTTACGATGCTTTGGATGAGGAGATAAAAGAAGAATGTTTTGCTCAAGAAATGGCGACTGTTTTCAAGCTGGGGCTCATGTGCACAAGCTCGATTCCCTCCAATCGACCCTCGATGAAAGAGGTTTTGCAGATTCTTCAAAGGTGCAGATTTTCTGAAGGGAAAGCGGAAGGAGATGAATTTGATGCAGATCCTCTTTTTGGGGACGATAAGTATGTTTCGAGTTATCTGTGTAAGTCGAAGAAAGTATCGGAGGATAGTGAAAGTGATGAAAGCTTGTTTACTCTTGTGTGATGTAAGGTGTTGTGTCTAATTTTAGGCAAAATAAGGTTGTGGATTTGATGTAGCTGAAAAATATGTAAGGATGACAATAAGTTAGATTGTTTCGGCTAAAGTTAATCTACTTTGTCAGATTGATATACCAACTGGCTTATCGAGTCATCGTGTTGAGAAATATGTAAGGATGACAAGAAGTTCGATAAATCGATGTATATAGATTATTCTGATAATGTAGCATGACTTCTAACATAATCAATTTGTACAAATACATATGTTGATTTCATGTAGTTTGATTTATTTATGTTGCCATTTAAAAAGAGAACCNAAAAAAAAAAAAAAAAAGAAAAGTCACCATTTACACACTTTCCTCATAACATAAAAGTAGAAATGAAAATCATACTGCTTACTCCAATTCTATTTGAAATCAAAAAAGTTCCATAAGAACTCATACATGTGCCCATGACAAAATGCTGCTAGCAAGCAAATCAACAAAAGATCTCAGCAGAGAATGGAACATAATATACACAACAAAAGACTGTTCAAAAACTGGGAATGATCTCAGTAGTTTCAGAACGTAAAACTGAATAACGTACCAAATTGAAAGAGACGGGCACAAAGCTGTTATTACAAAAACATCCCTCTAACCACCATTTAAGTTGATTTATACTGTGCATTTTTCCTTGCGCACTCCAAGATGGTTTTGTCGGCAGTGATGAAGTACGCGGCTATTGATGCTGTAACATACATAATCCCCAAACGAAAAATAAAATTAAAAAATTAAGGTAAATTGTTCGTGAGTTTTGAGAAACAAATTAAACAAAATCCATTTTGACAAAACTAAATCAAAATTCGCCAAAATAACAACGGGTTAGATTTGCTAAGAGTGATAGCCTCTGTTTGAGATTTTCATCAGAAGATATTATACCGCTACAGCTCTAATGTCCGTACGAGTAAATTATACACTCTAATTTACACCTATAAATTATGCTAATATGCTCCTTATCGAGAATGCTTCTATGACTATGGAAACTATTGTTGCATTTTCTGACTAGCTCATGCAAATGGAATACGGAAATTTAAGTGCTAAAGTAGACATATTTCGAATTTCTAAACGTGGTAATTACAAGTAATACCTTTTCCATGTAGCCTAATTACCAAAAGAGAAAAAAAAAATAAAGTAAACCAAGTGTCTTCCAAAGTTACAGTATGCAAATTTACTTGTGTTTCTATTTGACAAATTGCAGCTGCTGAGAAAATAATTTTCAAGACGAAAACAAACACATCCAGACGGCACTCATAACACCTAAAGGAGTATCTACTAATTTAAAACGAGAAAGTTTATTTACAGGGTAGTTACACAAAATTTCGAGTTTTGTAATAAAAATTTCTTTCAAGTATTTATCAGAACAGCCATATAGAGTTCAGCAACTAGGACATTATCAATAGCTACACTAAGAAGTGAACAGTTCAATACACCTACAAATCTCATTCTGTAAGTCAAAAGGTCCCGAGCAGTATAGTTGACCACCCATTTTGTTTTTCAGCGAGTAGAAAGAACATATAAATGTTAGGATACACCACATGAAAGGATTTTTCTTTTTTCCAAATTTATATGAATCAACAGAGGTGTCTAAATTATAAGTTATAGTGTGTCAAATAAACATACCACCAGATATGATGAGTGCCTGCGCAGTATAGTTGAGATTCGCCTTAGCCCAAGGAATTTTTCGAACAGCAATCAGCTGAAAGATTTGGCACAGTAATTTCTTACACACATATATAGGAAGCCCCGTAGACCAAAAAAAATAAAAAAAATAGACATATAATCCTGGCACATCAACCTAATCAGTAAGCAATAGCATTCGTCTAGTCTTCTTAGGATAAACAGTTGGCCTAAAGTTAGACATATTGAATGATAGCACATCTAATTGCTGTACCGAAAAATTTCACTTGTTATAAAGGTACCTATGGTTCCATCTCTTTTTTAACAAAGGCAAAATCTCGATTGCCCATCCGAAAATGCAAAATGTGACCTAGGGAGTGTTTTCAAATTCTAAAAGTTACATAAAAAATAAGGAAACAAGATTAGCACAATCAATCTCATATTCCTTAGCTTTGCAGAAACTTTCAATTTTGCTCTAACTAGATTGATGACAAAAATAAGTACTCAAGCAAATTTCCTATCATTAGCATCATAATGAACTTAACATAAAATCGAGAGCAAAACGAGTAAATGTAAATGTACACACAGTAGGCACAGCGCTGGCAACACATGTAACAGCAGCAGCTTTGGCTCCGGCTCGCACGCCTTCTGCAAGCACAAAGTCACACAAATTTAAGTAAGTATATAATGCAATATTTATATAATGATGAATCAGACCCCAAATGACAATAATACAATTATGCTGAAACAAATTTATAGATAATCCCCAAAAAAAGTCTTATATGATGACAGGAGTGAATATTAATAACAATATAGATCATTTTGGATTAATAAAAAACAAGAATCGTTCACAAACAAACACTGCCCTTTTAAAATAAAATCTCTAAATTCCAAAAGGTGTATTTTTAATTATTCCACCAAATCCTCAGAATTTCATCTCAAAAATCGATCGACCCACGTTAAAGTGCAAACAGAACTACGAGATTAGAAAAATCAAAAATTTATCGGCACAGGAAAACACCCATGAAATGCCATGACGAGGAAACGTGAATGATTCAATCTTTTTGGTGAAACCTGCTGAGAATCATGTTCAATCAACGAAATAAATATAAGAAAATAAACAGATCAATCAACCTTGAGTACACTGCTTCGAGCGGAGAATTTTCGCATCTTCAGCTGGAGACTGGATCACCAATGGGTTCCTTGAATTCGCAAATAGGTCCCTCATCTCCGACGGAATCCCCATATTTTCAAAGTTTATTTTTTTTAATCTCTCCAATTTATTTTCTTGAGTAATTGAGTTTTGATTCAAGTAAATAGAGGCGTCTGAGTTTCAGTTTGTCTTAAAATAGAAGAGCAAAAATGGAGAGCTTTCGGCACATTTTTTGGAGCCCATCACTGTATATCAGTGAAAAGTGCGACTTTGGTCCCCTATCGTTGAGATTAATGTAAACACGTTTTATGAGGCTGTTCTTCAAAATCGCCTCTTACACCGCCGCCGTTGGCCGCCGGATTCTTCTGCAAACCTCAACACTCCCGTCGCGTCGCTTCCACCTAGATTCTCAAGGTATGCAAATTTTTCACAAGAAAAATCGTGAAATTTTCCTGTGAAACATGAGTACGAGGAACCCTTTTTTTTTTCCTAGTTTCGAATGTAATTCATACTAACATAGCTTTGAAGTGACTGAAGCTGTAATACTTGTGATATGTTGTTAAATTCATAATATTGTTTGTTTTTCAGCTTTCCTTTCACTGCATCTGAATCCGTATATGCACACAGAAGGGAAATTTCTCCAAACGGTGTCGTTTGGAGCTGTTTATGTAGATGCCCATAGGCCATAAGCTTCATACTTCATAGCGTCATGAAAATGAGAAATTTAATGTAATATGATTCCATGTTGCGAAAATTGACAAAAACAAACCAACGGGGTTTATCAAGTTTGATGCTTGGTGAAGGATGTGCCTTCAGCCAGTTGAACAAAGATGATAAGCCTCCTTGTAAGCACTTGTTGAAAAATCTTTCTACTATCAGTGCACAGCTGGAAAAGATATACAGTAAAGGACCCACCCGTTGGATTCTGCTCGAAAATCTCGAAAATGCTTTAAAGGAGCATCAAGTAAATGGGGCATTAAAAGCTTACAACGATTTCAAGCGGCTTTACGGTTATCCCGATCGATCTCACATGTCTAACTTGATAACCGAGCTTTCGTATACATCTGACTCCAAATACCTTCAGAAAGCCTGCGATTTAGTTATTTCGATTTCCAAAGAAAAACCAGTTTTACTTACACCTGCCTTGATGACAAAGGTGGCCCTTTCTTTAGCCAGGGCTCAAATTCCTGTTTCGGCTTCGAACGTTCTTCGGCAGATGCTGGAGAAAAGGAAACTGCCTTCGTTAGATGTGCTGAGAATGATTTTCCTTCATTTGGTTAAAACAGAAAACGGGGTGTATCTCGGCTCGAATATGTTGGATGAGATTTTTCACAAGTTAAATGCGGAAAAATCGGCTAATGCTGAGTTGACTAGGCCTGACACGACGATTTTCAACCTTGTTCTTGATGCTTGTGTGAGATTCAAGGCTCCTTTAAAGGGTCATCTTGTTATGGAGCTTATGGCACTTAATGGAGTCATGGCTGATGCCCACACTGCAGTGATTGCTGCCCGTTTGCATGAAATGAATTTCATGAGAGACGAACTAAAGAAATTTAAAGATTACGTGGATATTGTGCCTAAAAATTTGATTCGCCACTATCAGCAGTTTTACGATTGTCTGCTTAGCTTGCATTTTAAACTCAATGATATCGAGAGCGCATCTGGGCTTTTATTGGATTTGTGTAAATATAGTGAGTCGAATGATTTTTCCATGGGTCATCAGGTCGATAAAGAGAAAAAATCTTGTTCTGTATCTATTGGATCGAGCAATATCAAGATGGGATTGAGACTGCAATTTCTACCTCAGCAATTAAATGAGTTTTTCTATGCCGTGAACAGAAAGCAGGAATTTATCTCGTGTAGAAATGGGAGACTTATTCTGAGCAATAAAGGGTTGGCCAAGCTCGTTATAGGATACAAAAGATGTGGGGAAATAAGTGGGCTCTCGAAGCTTCTTATTAGCATAGAGAAAACGTTGTGTTTGCAAGAAAATAGAAGCTTGTGTTCAGATGTGACCGAAGCTTGTGTTTATATGGGATGGCTTGAAATGGCTCACGACATTTTGGAAGACTTGGAATTGGAAAAATATTGTGCGAGGGAAAGTTCATATTTATCCCTTTTGACTGCTTATTACGATAAAAAAATGCCGAGGGAAGCAAAAGGTTTATTGAGTCAAATGAGGAGAGTTGGAATAAATTTTTCCGATTCAGAATATGGAAGGGAATCATCGAATTTAAGTGTAACTTTACTGTGTAAATCTGATTTGGCCAACTCTATTATCCAGAATATGAGAGAAGGTGGTGAAGAAAAATCTTTTCGAGTTCATGAGTTCAACTCGTCTATATATTTCTTCACTAAGGCTAGAATGATTGAAGATGCCGTGCAAACATACCTCAAATTGCAAAAGATGAAAATCGAGCCTGATGACTCGACCTTTTTCCATCTGGTTTGCGGATTTATTTCCCTTGGGTTGTTTCGTCAGATCACGTTTTTATGGGGCGATATAAAGCGGAGCATGGTAAGTTTGAATAAGGTCTACAGAAGGGATTTGTATGAGTTGCTGCTGTTGAGTTTTATTCAGGGAGGCTATTTTGAGAGAGTTATGGAGGTAATTAGCTTGATGGTGGAGAATAATATGTTCCTGGATAAAGGGAGCTATAAAAACGAGTTCTTGAAATTCCACAGGGATCTTTATCGGAGCTTAACTTTGTCTGATGCAAAAGACGAGGTCCAAAGGAGGCGGATCGAGCAAGTTCGGGCATTCAGGAAGTTTGTTGGCATAGTTTGAAGAAAGAAGGATGTTTTTCAGCTGCAGGAGATGAAATGTTTGTAGTATTATTAGTACGAAAACCACCTGTGAGGTTTAGAATACAAAACAAGAGTACTTATTGNATGAAATCTGAACTTCTGTTATAGTAGATAAAATGATTGCAGTATTATTGTAAGTTATTTTCTTGACTTGAGTTATATGTACTATGTTTATTTAGTTGGTGGTTGTCTAATTTATTTATTTTTATAATTGATCTTTTTTTTTTTGTTATTATTATTTGGGTCCCACTCGATAAAATTTTTAAATCCGTCACTGGCTACTGGTACATGGATTTTAAGAAATATGAACAAATATTTGGAAGACGTGGTCATGTCTTACGTAATGAGAGCTAGTATATTTTTTGGCGAATAAGTTGTGCCATGCTTATAAAAAAAACTATTTATATTATTACATAACAAGAATGATATCATGATAAATATTGAACTCATATTAATTTAAAACAAAAAATAAAAACGTATTGAAAATAATTTTGGTCTAAAAAATAACAATTCACATAAAAGGGAAATACAATAAATGAAAATTAAAATTTGATCGTGACCAAAGAAAATGCGAAATAAACAAACAAACAAACAAAATTAAAAAACTTGCTCGGTAGTTTTTTCCTTTTGAAGTTTTTAAAAAAATATATTGAATTTTTTCCTTTTGAGGTAGTAAATATATTATATATATATTTTTTAAATTATTTGTTAAAACATAACCACATCTGATTCTGACCACGTTAAAGAGTTGACCGGAATAAACAACGGTTTCACACAGCAGAAACGTCATGACCCATGCCACAGGACCTGGTACCCCACGCATCGATGTTAGTACCACGATCCCCAAACCAGCTACTATACGAAGCAGCCCAGCTTTATATAGAAAAATCTGATAGAAATTCGAGTAAACCGGCGCCAACTGTTTTCTTGAGCAATAATCTTCAACAATCATGGCAAATTTGCCCTATTCTCCACGAGAAGATCGGAATCAATTTATTCCCAATTTTCTAAAAACAGAGATGCAGATATAGACACACATATACTTACGCTACCACCTGTTTTTTGTTTATTGATTAATTCCATTTTCTGCCGTCGAGGAGAGGCTTGTGGATTTGCCGGAAAGTATGGGCACGGCTGCCGATTTTCAGAAGAAGGTGGTGAAAGGGGCGTTTGGATATGTTCTGCAAGACGTGCCTCATTTCAGCGATTACATTTCCGATCTACCTGTATGTTGTGCCTTTTCCCACTCTCCATTTATACACTTAATGGTGGATATCATGTGTTTTGCTATTGTGTGCTTTGTTTCTGGTGTAATGGATGGCAGTGTTGGGACATGGTTGTGTGAATCTGTGTTCTATGATGCTATGCACTGTTTGGATGTCTTGTGTTTTCTCTATTGTGTGTTGTGTTTGTGGCGTAATGAATGGCCGTGCTGGGAAATGGTTGTGTGAATCTGTGTTGCGATCGACTTGATGTTTCTGTTGTGCTTTTTTCCATTCTCCATTTATGCACTCGTTGCTAGATAAATGTCGTGTATTATTCTATTGTGTGTTTTTTCTGTTGTGCTTTTTTCCATTCTCCATTTATGCACTTAATGCTAGATAAATATCTTGTGTTTTCTATTGTATTTTGTGTTTGTGGTGTATATGGAAGTGCTGGGACGGTTGAGTGAATATGTGTTATATGATGCGATGGACTTGATGTTTCTGTTGTGCCTTTTCCTCTCTCCATTTATGCACTTAATGCTACATAGATATCTTGTGTTTTTCTGTTGTGTGTTGTGTTTGTGGGGTAATGAATGGCAGTGTTGGGACAGGGTTATGTGAATGTGTGTCGTGTGATGCGATCAGCTTGATGTTTCGTGTTCTGTGCCTGTGATTCAAGTTGGTGGATGATGGTTGGGTTGTTCGGTGATTTTATCCGGTGTGTAATCTCATGATTGCGTTTTGATTTCGTTAAATTTGTAGTTTTAGTTTTCTCGAACATGTGATAACGTGCTGGGATGTTTTTGTTTATTTCTCAATTATTATTTTATCCTTGTCCTGTCTGTGTGTGTTATTCAACTGACAATATGGAGCCCAAAAATATTTGCAGAATGAAACATGTAATTTTGATTATAAGCTGAATTCATTTTCTACTCAATAGGGCATTATCATGATTTCAGGTTCCTGTTTAGAGTAGGTTTGTGTATGACAAGGTGAAAGTGAAATTGATGAAAACAGGAAACAATTTTTTTACCTGTCCTAATTTATCAGCTATTATAGTTATTTGTTTTCTAACTACTCATGCTTCCACTCATTTTTTTGGCAGACTTATCCAAACCCATTACGATCAAATCCGTCTTATTCGGTTGTCAAGTTAGTCTCTCTCTTTCATCTTTCCTCCGTCTGTATCTTTCATCATCGCTGTATTCCTTTTCACCATTATATTTTCTTTTATGATTATAAGTTAAAGTATGTTGTTTCTTTTTAATGCAGGCAGTACTTTGTTGACATGGATGATAGTGTCCCTGAAAAGGTATTTATACTACACATATCTTTTATTTTTTTAATCATTGGCATGAATTAAAACTGAGGAGGGTATATTCATTAAGGACTTTCAAAGATTTTGTAAGATTTTAAGAATATTGGTGTATTCATTTGAGATTTTAAAAAGTCTTAGAAAATCATGAGGTTATTCGATTGTGAATTCAAATAGTTTTAAGAAGTCATGAGGTACTCAATTGAGATTTTAAGAAGTCTTAAATAAGATTTTTAAGGATTTCAGTAAACTCAGCAAGTCTGAAAAAATATTGGATTCTAAAGTCTTAAAAATGTCACATAAAATCTCATGTGAATACACTGTCCTGGTTTATTCTTAATCTTGGGTAACAAGTACACATGTATGCACCATATGCTTTTAGGCATAAAAGGGCGTAAGGCTGTAGTTGGAAAATATAGAATTACTTGAGGTTTGCAGGTGAAATGTTGGTGTGCTGTATGTTACTATTTCTGGAGTATGTTCTTCTTTTGTGGATTCCATGTGGCTACATTGTTGTTCTTATCATTTAGTTTAATCTGACTGGTTAAGCACTGGGTATGTCTAAAAGAAGTCGACATTTTTCAGATGGTGTATACAGCCACATCCTGCCAGTTTGTACTTTTTACTCATGAACAAACTGAACTATCAGTTGGGTGCATTTGTAGAAGTCCCGCCTTCTCTTATTATATTATATACGGTCAATTTCTCACAGGTTACTATATTATATATTGTCAAATTCTTTCAGGTTATTGTTCACAAGGATACTCCAAGAGGGGCGCATTTTAGGCGGGCTGGACCTCGCCAGAAGGTAAATCTTCCTTTACCAATTTTCTAAAGTTCAGCAAATGGTTGGTTACATTTGCTTTTATGTGCGCAGGTTTATTTTGCTTCGGATGAGGTGAATGCATGTATTGTGACTTGTGGTGGTCTATGTCCTGGACTAAACACGGTGATAAGGGAAATCGTATGTAGCCTTGACTATGTGTATGGTGTTAACAAAGTCCTTGGAATCGATGTAAGCCAGCTGGTCAATAATTTTAATCATGAATTTTTATTCCAGAAAGGTCTTAATTTTTGCTATCACTACTCGGAATTCAGATTACGACATATGGTCAACCTCGAGCAGCACTTCTTTCTCCTCAAACAAGAATTTGTTGAAAATGCCTATGTATAATTTTTTTAAGTATGATATCGATAATTCTTCAATCTCCATAAGCAACAAGGCTTAGCAGTTTTTCTGATTTTACTCAGCTCTTATGATAAGGCTATTGACATTATTTTATACGTAGTAGTATACATTCTTCTAATGCACCATTTCTTTAGGGAGGCTACCGGGGTTTCTATTCAAAGAATACCATTACTTTGACCCCAAAGCTTGTGAACGACATACACAAGCGTGGTGGGACCATACTGGGAACATCTCGAGGTGGCCATGACACCACTAAGATTGTCGACAGCATCCAAGATCGTGGAATTAACCAGGCATGTATTAAGGTTATATGTAATTTTAAGCAAATCTTCCACACAGCTTGGGTTTATACTTGCTGATGATCATTTACTCCTGTTATGGCTTATAATAACCTGCACTCTGGCTCTGATGAACAGTATCACTGCCTCAGGTTTATATAATTGGAGGAGATGGCACCCAGAAAGGAGCAGCTGTGATCTATGAGGTGTCATTATAAGGGAATAGAACTACTTTAAGATAGTCATGCCTCGATAAAGCTATATTGTGAGGACGAGTGTGTCATACTATATATATATAATTGAAAATAAACATCTAGTAATCTTTTGTGGAGAGTTCATTTAGGTAAGGTAATTTTTTTAGGATATGGAATTGCGGGTGACAACTGTGTCTTCAGTTTAATGGATTTGTCAACAGTCTTTTCTCTTGTTATTTTTGTATGTTGAAATGGCAGGTTTCGTAACTGGAAGTAGCTCTATCCCATTTGCCAACATAAATTATAATATGCTATTTGATATTCTTATCCATATAGCATATCTGTAATTTTATGTTTGTTCTTGAAAGCAGCTGAATGCCAGAGCGATTTTATTTGTTCTTTTGCAGGAAATCAGAAAGCGGGGTCTAAAGGTTGCCGTTGCTGGTATCCCCAAGACAATTGATAATGATATCCCGGTATCCGTCCCTTCATACTTAAATGATAATAAATAAATAAATAAATAAACATGTCAAAATATTCTTTTGATTAGATCAGCCCTTAAAGCATATGAATGAGGGTGTTCTGTGTCTTTCTAGTTTCTACAACTTTTCTTTTCTTGCACACCTATGAACTTATTTCCTTTTATTTTCTGACTTGATTTTGGTTTTGGTTCTGTTATCAGGTTATTGATAGGTCCTTTGGTTTTGATACTGCTGTAGAGGAAGCTCAACGTGCCATAAATGCTGCACATGTTGAAGCTGCGAGTGCAGAAAACGGAATTGGTGTAGTAAAACTAATGGGTCGTTACAGTGGTAAGATGAATTTACCCACTTGAATTGGCAGTTATATAGTAAAAAAAAATCAAATAATTATTATGCGAATGACTTTATTTTCCAAAGTCACTATGTTACCGCTGGATGCTTATTTCCATTAATTTTAGCCATAACAAATCCCTACCTTGTTGAAAAACGAAAGATGGATACCGTGGCTTTAAAGAGCTGTTACCGGAGCAATTTCCATTAACGTCTAAATTTACCGGAATAACTAGTGCAGGCTTTATTGCAATGTATGCCACGCTGGCTAGCCGGGACGTGGACTGCTGTCTTATTCCAGAATCACCATTTTATCTAGAGGGAAAAGGTGGGCTCTTCGAGTACATAGAGAAAACGCTCAAAGCAAATGGGCATATGGTTATTGTTATTGCTGAAGGAGCAGGACAGGAACTTCTTACCGGAAAAAACGAACAAGATGCTTCAGGAAACAAGCTGCTTCAAGATGTCGGGTTGTGGATTTCTCAGAAAATAAAGGTACATGTTATGTCAAATGGATTTTGACTTTTGAATATGTTTGTTGACGTGTTTTCTCTTTTGTCTTAGAACAATAGACTAGACATAACCATCATATAGTGAGAATCTGTTAGCCGCACCCTGACTCTGTACATTTGTGTGTTTTTAACCCCCAAGGTACCAAGGACGGCCACCTGTAAATCCCATGTTTTTCTGAATATATTAATCTCTCTGCGACTCACCTCCAGGAACCTAGAATTGTGTGACAGCTTATATATACATGAACAAAAACCTTTACAAACCCAACTTGCTTCTGTTTAATATTTACTCGGAAACCCTTGACTTGGGGTCACTAAATTTGATATTGCCACAAATGGGGCATTTTTAGAGAAAAAGTCATAAGTAGCCTGCATTAGCAATTTTTGTGGGTAAGCTTTCTGAGATGCTTGCAGCTTATTGTATGTTGACAAGCACATGCCACTGGGCAGAGTCATAACCTAAAATGGTAAAAAATGAGATGCATTTATGCCCTCAATAGTAAAAATGAGATTCATGCCATGATAGTAAAAAGGAGCACAGTATGATGATGAGGCTCTGTTTAATTATTAGGATCATATTGAACTTATATTAATCACCATCACAATTATGATTCTGCATGATGGCAGTTCTAATTTTTAGGAGGGTAGAGAGAAGGGGAAAATGATGTCTTTATCCTTCTTTAGCCAATAGTTACAAACTTGGTTTGCAGTCAAAAGAAACAAATTTATGGTGATCGATCATTTTATCAAGCTACCTTCTTTCGACAGGAACATTTCGCGAAGCAAAATAATATCCCAATCACTCTAAAATACATAGGTCAGTATTCTCGACCTGGGGTCATTTTTTATTATATTTTTTCTGAAGTTAACTAACTCGATAAATTTGCAGATCCAACATACATGATCCGTGCTATTCCTAGCAATGCTGCTGACAATGTGTATTGCACACTCCTTGCTCAAAGTGCTGTCCATGGAGCAATGGCGGGATACACGGGTTTCACTAGTGGGCTTGTCAATGGTCATCAGACTTATATCCCCTTCTATGTAAGTGAAATTATTGTGAAATATGTTGGAGAATTCTCAGGTTCTTAAGTTCAGAATTGTAGGGGGAAAAACTAGGTGAAGATTGAAATATATATGGCTTTGTTTGTTTACAAAATAACCCAAAAAAAAATCCAATCTCAACTCAAAATTTAACTCAACTTAATTCAACCCCACCATCCTCAATATTATCAATATAATTAAATAATATCAATAAATCGGCCTTACACATCACATCAACTTTAATTCACTATCATCTGCTCACACAGAATTTTAACTACCTATCACTTTCAATCATCTATCTCCTACTTTTACATCAAATAATTTTTTAATCATTTTATTTTAAATATTATTTTAGTATATCATCAGCTCCTCTATGACTGAACTTCGCTTCACTTCTAAAGTTAGGGTCGACAAAGTTGAGCTCGACCGTAGGTAGGGAGAGTGATTACATACCTTTCATTTAATCCCAAGAACTAGATCCTTAAAATCCCACCAAATATTAACCGTACTAACTTTTTTAAAATTAACCCTAGTTAACAAAAAAAATCAATCAAATACCAACATATTTATAAACAAATAGAAACTAAAGTATAGAATCAGCCGTGGTATCTTCATTTAAATCTCCAGTTCCCTGTTATAACAGCCTCGCGTTTGTTCGTCTTCAACCATTATGTATCATCCTTAAAATTGACAACAATTGTTATTTGTGCAGCGTATTACAGAAAAGCAAAACATGGTTGTAATAACAGACAGGATGTGGGCAAGGCTTCTGTCTTCAACCAATCAACCGAGCTTTCTGGGACCAAAAGCTGATGAAGATGAAATAATCAAAGCCAATGGTGAGATCTCAAGCAATACAGATAATTCAGACATCAGCATCAATGAAAATATAAGCACTTGAAAAGAAAAAGAAAAAAAAAAAAAAACAAATTCCCGTTTCCATGAATTTGGCGCCAAAACTGGTTGTTTGTGTGCCGGTTTTCGGACTTTGAGATATGTACCATAAATATTGGATTGATTGATGGGTATGTATGTAGGAACATTTTTCAAGGCGACCAATCTGTTAAGATGCCTCAGCTGTGGGCAATAAAATTTGTCGTTGCAGTTTTTCGTATTTATAAGAGAAACTCAACTCGCTTGTGTTTCTTTTGTGTGTATTACTTGACTTTGATTATGTGCTCACCTTGTATGATGTATCTTTTTTATCCCAATAAATTGCTTGGGTTCAAGCTTTCTGAGTGCTGCTCATTAGCTAGCGTTAATCTACGTATTTGGAATTCCTGGTATGTATGATTTTGTTAACAACAAGCTGTGCTGATAACACAAACACCCCTATTACTATTTACTGCCTCCTTTGGACATTTTTGCCCCTGTCATTTTTTTCCAAAAAAAAAAAAAATATTGTTGTCCGGCCGCCGAAACCGGACGGCCCAAATGGCGTCCGGCCCCGACGGCCGATCGTGACCGGTCCGACCGGTCTGACCGGTCCGACCAGTCAGACCGGCCGGACACCATGTTTTTTTATATAAAATAATATTATTATAAATTATTATGTTATATATTCAAAATAATTTGTTATAAATTGGACGTTAGAATAAAAAAAA